GGGGCGGGGCATGCTGAACATAAGGAGCAACTTCCTCACAGCAGGGGCTGTTTGGCACCGGAACAGCCTGCACAGGGTGGGGGTGCCCTCTGCTGAAGGGATCTGAGCCGCAGCCGGGCAGGACGCCGCAGGACTGCCTCAAGAAGGGGCTGGCCCTACCAGCCTTTCCCCCTGGGCACCCTTTAACTGCTTTGGGGCAAAACGCCCAGGCGTGGTCACTGCGGGCCATGCCGGCTGGGACTCAGGCGTGCCAGTGCCCGCAACACCTGGGAGTCGCCGGGAAGGGGAAGGTGGACTAGATGTCCTCTGAGGGTCTCCCCACCTCTTTGTGGCCCTGTGGTTGCACCTCCAGGCCCTCCTGCTCCGCCAGCAGCAGTGAAAAGGAAGGTTCCTTGGGCACACGTGCTTGGGAGGGGGTTCTCCAAAAGGACCGCAGTGACTACAGATGAGCGAGGGAGGGAGGGAGAGATCTGGCTGCCACACAGGCTAATGGGAAACAGATTTCATCTGCAGTTGCTTTCCCATAAGGAACAGTGGGAGTTCAGGAACGTCCAAGGGAGCGTTCCCACTCCCACCTTTCATCTTCTGTCACTCAGCTGAGTGGGGGTGGGGGCAAGAGCACCCTGGAGTTCCCCGCCCTGCTATTCGGATCGGACAGCACGCATCAGACCACTCCTGCAAGAGCAGGGCAGGGGCAATGTTGGACCCAGAAGGGTGGGCGGGGGGCACAGCGGGAGCAGCAGCCGGGAGGCCGCCTGCCCGTGTCCGCCACGTGCCTGTGCCAGCCAGCAGAGCGAGCCGCTGCCCGACTCCTGCCGGGCGTTGTGTGGGGGCCGCGCATGAGGAACTCTCCATGGCAGTGCAGGGGGATGGAGGGGCTCTCCCGGCCAGCGGGAGACGGGCTCCAGGTGACCGAAAGGAGCCCAGTGCAAGCCCAGGAGAACACACGCTGCCCGGGGAAGTGGCCCCCAGGCCTGAGCGTGCTCCGCGCCCGCGTCCGAAGCAGCAGGGGGCTGGGAGGGCAAAGAGCACGAGTCCACATCACACCTCCTGGCTGCAGAGCAGGGCCATTTGGGGTCTGGGAGGAAATGGGATGCAGATGGCCCGAGTACTGCCGGGCGGTGAGAAGCCAGGGCGCTGAAGTTGTGCAGACTCTGTCAGAGCCTAGCGCGAGAAGGGGAGACGCTGCTTTTTCTCCAGAAGGATGAAAGGGGAAGCGGTCAGAGACGGGTAGACATCCCGTTCCTTGGCAGCCTCCCGAGCGGCCAGCAGGAGCAGCTGGTCCCGTCCTCTGTGGGGTGGCGACAGGGCGACTGCCAGCCATCCACCGGCCATCAGAGCCAAGGAAGTGCCCAGGGGCTTCGGGAACGGCGGGGGCAGCGCAGAGCTGCGGAGAGCCGGGGCCCTTCATGCAACGGGGAGGCGGCTGGGGTGGGCCAAGCGTCGCTGGTCGTGCAGCAGTGCTGGGCACAGGCAGGCAGGCGCGTGCGTGTCTCCCGCCCCCTTCCCTCAGTCTGTTCGCCCCCGCAGCCACTGGCCCTAGCCAGGGTCAAGGCAGAGGCGACTGCTCGTTCGGGAGCCGAACCCAAGGTTCAGCGCGGGCTGGCGAGCTCCAGTGGCAAGGCGGGCTGCGTACGCCGCACTCCCTCACTTACCTGGTGACGTGGGAGACCAAGAAGCTCTGGATCTCGGGGCTGCTGACGAAGGCCAGGGCTCCGCCGCCCAGCTCCCGGCAGTGCCGCTGGGCCTCCTGCCACTCGGCTTTCTCCGCCCCCAGCCAATAGCAGTGGCTGTTTCCAGGGAAGACCACGCCGTCTGCAGGGCAAGTCGGGTGAACGGCTGCGTGAAAGGAAGCCGCACGTCAGCACACGCACCTCTGTGCTGCCCCCAGAGGCTCAGCAGCAGAGGGTAGGGCCGCCCAGGGAGGCACAGCCAGGGCCGGAAGCGGGAATCCCGCAGTGCAGCGCGGCTTCCCGGGAGGGAGAATCAAGACTGGCCCTCGTGCCCCCCGCAAAAGAACCCCTTCCAGGACGCAGTTTCCTGGCGCGTGCGAATTCCCTCCCAGGCTGCTTGGCATCAGCGCTGCAGACAGTGGAACTCCCCGCCTCAAGATGCACCCCTGGAAGCGGGTGTGAGCAGACTCTAATTCCAGCCCTGGGTCCATGCAGGGCCCTCCGACTGAACTCAGGGGCATGGGACCAGTGGCTGCAGCCCCTCCCAGTGACACCAGCGAGGGAGACTCTGCCCACCTCTCGCTGGAAAGAGAGGGGAAAGGCCTCCCTTGCTGCCGCCAGCGCCAGCGCATCGGAGAGAGTGTGCCTCGGCAGGCAGCACGTGCGCTGCATCGCGCATATGCGTGCCGCACGTGTTCACACACACAGCCCCCCAGCTGCCCATCTGGAACCAGTTACCATCCCAGGGCTGCACAGGTTGTGCCACCAGGACTTAAATGCTCAGTATGGAACATTTATATACACAGTATTTCATCCCAGAAATCTGCTTCTATTCAGTGGGCAGGATCCAGACTTACCACTACCTAAGAGTAGACCCAATGCAATAAATGGGAGATAGGGAAGGCTCTTTTTCTCTAGAATTGTCGCCTTCTGTATACTCACTTGTTACAGAGACACATAATGGCAGCGCTGCCAAATGCTTGCAGTCGAGGGCCCCCTGTGCTAGCATGGAGTGGCTTTTTCAGAACAGATCTGTGGCACCCCCTGCACATCTCTCTCTCTTTGCCTTAAAACAATGCATCTGTTTGCATTTCAGCACCAGGGTGTCCAGTGCAGAGAGGCAAAGCTTTCCAGGACTTCTGTGGCTTTAAAAGATAAGTCTGGGCTTCCCACATCACGCCCATTTCAGTGCCTCCTGGTGGGGCCTTGGAGGTAAGTGACAGACTGCTCCTCTCCTGCTTGCCAGGTAAGCCTCCCCTTGCCTGGCCCCCTCCCAGCGCTCTGGCTGGCCTCCCCCTCACCGGCCTTAAGGGTTGCTGCTTGTAGGAGCTGCAGGCATTTTGCAAGGCATTTTGAGGAAAGTTGCTCAGGGTGGGGGCGGGGAGGTGTAGGAATTACAAGCTTCACCTCTCTCAGTCCCTCTTTTTAAGATCACAACTTCGCTATATGAAAAGGGTACGGGTTTTTCACCCTGTAAATGCCCTGCCTCACTGAGGCACTTTTACTGGGGTTCCTGGCCACATCAATTTCATCTTGTAAGCCTTGCCTGTTTTTCCACTCCTTCTCTCATCCTTTTCCCTACCAGAAAAAATATAGAGGGAAAAACAAACTATGCACATAATATTTTTACTGGTCATGGGAGCCTGGAAGCACCCTGAGAAGATGTTCCAGGGGAGCAAGAAAAAGGAAGCAAGGGAAGAGAAAAAATACATTTAATTCTCTTTGCGGAAAAGGATTGCTTGTGAGGGAACAGAAAAATCTTAGCCATGAGAGGCAAAGGTAATACCGGGCTCTATTGAGCGCAGTGTGGAACCCTCTCCTATTGTAGGCCTGACTCCAGCATGGAGCCGGTGGAAGGCTCAGTATCAGGTCTGCTGGTTTCTAAGCGTGAGCCAGTCCTGCAACATCCACGTGCCAACCAGGAATGGCTTAAAGTTGTGGGGGGGGCAGGAGGAACTCTTTTGGGGTTCTGGTTTCGGCTCTCAGAAGGTCCTGCACGCATGGCCAATGGTCAGGAAGGAGAGGCCCAACATGCCTCGCATCTACCACAGTGGTCCACCCTTAAGGGCCGGAGGAAAAGCGGCACCCCCAAAGCTTATTTGCACAGCTGCTGTGTAAGAAAAACCAGCGGCTGGCTCCTGTTTCAGTGAGATCCCGGGGACCAGAAACCAAGCAAATCAGAACGGAGACGGCCTCCCGTGCCCCAGGAGATGGAAAACCCCCTGTGTGAACACGAGGCTGCAGCCCACCTCCCCCTCCCCGAGCTGCCGGGCTTTAACTCACCCTTGCCAGGCTCTCTGTCCCCTGCCACGATGCTGTAGGTGGCAGAGAGGCCAGTCCCCGCGCGATTCCTGACCAGCAGCTGCAAGCTCGCGTTGGTCTTCACCAAAGGAGGACACTGAAGCTCCACGTCCGCCGGCGGGGCCACCACGGCGACTGCAGCTCGTGCCAAGGTCAGCTGCCCGCCAACAAAGAGCACGGCCGTGACATTGTAGTGCCCGGGGGAGGCGTATGTGTGACGCACAGTCGTCCTGGTGGTATTCAGCAATGCCGTACGGTCCCCAAAGTCCCACTGGACAGTGCCGACGGGAATGGGCACATGGAGAGCCAAGGTGACCTCGTGGTACAGGCTGCAGGGAGAGTCGGGTGCCACCAAGGAAACGGGCAGCGCCGCCGGGAAGACGCTCGGAACAAGGGAAGGGCCACCACACACGGGTCCGGCGAACGGCTCGGCACAGAATGGCCAGCAGCCAGCGGAAGCGTTCGGGTCCAGAGCAGCGCCGCACAGGCAGTGGGCCTCTTGGCTGAAGCCCCCGTGGTCCTGGCCATCAGCAAAGCAGAATGAAGCACATGCCTCGGCTGACAGGTTCTGCGGGAGGCGGGATGTGAATCGCACAACGGAATCAACCACGCCGGTGCTGTTGTCCCTCAGGCATGCGATGTAGTCCGCTCCTGGAGGGGTGAGCAAGGAATCCACGTGTCAAGCCAGAACACTGAGCTGCAGGTTCAGGAGGGGCGGTGGCGGCGGCTCCAGCGGAGCTCCGGACGTCCACGCCGCAAGCGGGCTGCTTTGAGGCTGCTGCAGGCCTTGGATGTCGGCCCGGCTCTGCCCAAGTCCCCACCAGGCAGCTCTGCTCTTCCCAAGAGGGTCATGTGTGAGCCTGCCCTTGGCAGCCCTCGACCCCAGACTCTCCCCCTGCTGCGCTCCTCAGCTGAGGCTCTCTCACAGGTCCCCCGCATCTGCATGGGGGGGGGGCGCTCAGCATTCACCTGCGCCACCGGAATGCCCCCTCTGGAAAGCTCACCTGGTGCCAGGCCAGAGGCTCTCAATTCCTGTGCACCCCCGTTTCTTTCTATGCTGAATCTGTCTACAAGCCGCCACTGGCATAACGCTCGCTGGGCAGCCCCTGAGCGCATTCATTTGCTGCTGCCTTGCTGGCGCTGTGCCTGCGTGGAATTGCCATTGCATACACTGCTGTGATTCTGACACCCCCGTGACACGCTGCTCACCCACAGGAGGACGTGCGTGCTCCTGTGGAGCGGCACCTGTGCTGCGTTGTGAGGGACCTCTGTGGCGCTACGCAACAGCCACAGTCCTTGCGAGGCGTCTCCCCCCCCCAACACACACACACAGGCTGCCTCGGAGCCTTACCACAAGCCACGTCAAGGAACGACACGTTGAGCAGAGGGAGGCCCGCCACCTCGAGAGGCTCAGCACACGTCGTCTCCAGCGGGTGCGCCACCTTCACGCTCCGCTCTTCCACCCAGTGGGGAAACCACGCAAGTTTGCAGTCACAAACAAATGGATTCAAACTCAAGTTTCTGAAAGAGGCAGATGAGCAAGGTAGAGCGCGCATTAGCTTGGCAAACAAAACCCAATCTTTTTCTCATTCTGCAAACAATTGGCATCACTAGAAGAGGGATGTGGGGACGATTGTTTGCATTCATAAAGGCCCTGCCACGTCATACTACTGAGGTGCTGCGATAGGTCTCTGGCCAAGAGAAGCGCAGCGCTTCCAGAGGATTAAGACAAGTCTGTCAAAGCCTAACCTCACTACTGACAAACCTTCTGAAATATCCTTTGGAAGAGAGAGGCCACGGCAGATTCAGAAAGGCTGCAGGGAATGTGAAAATAGCCGCCTGCAATAAGGAAGCCTCAGCGAGCTGTGGGGCGGAGAGGGGTGGGCTTCACTAGGCAGCCACAGGTAAGGGACATGGGGATTAGGCTTTGCCTGCCTCAGCATTTGTTGATTTACAATGCCTGTCTTTATTATTGTTCCTTTATGGCTGCTGGTTGACTGCTTTAGTCTACTTTATACTTGCACTGTAGTTATTGACATAAATTGCCTTGAATATATTGTACAAGACGGGATTCAAAGAAGTAAGTTAAAGGACGGAAGGAAGGAAGCCTGGGCAAATGATCTCAGTGAAAATCACCCACTGAAGGAAAGGTTAAACTTAGCCCCACTGGGCCCACTGAAAATCAGCCCCCATACTGCACTTTAAAATGCCAACATGGTTCCCATGGATGTGCTGATAATCCCGCTTAGTTTGTCCGCAGGTTTCCAACTCCAAGTTGCACACAGAAAGATTCTGAGGAGCACAAAGAAGGGAAATGCGCTCTGCCGAATCATCAATAGCCCACCCCAGTCTGCCACACCTGCGCGTGGAGCCATGTGACTTGGTGCCCCACAACAGCGGGGGCTGGACCTGATGGCCTTTTTGGCCCCTTCCAACTCTACTCTTCTGTGACTCTATGCAGCAATGCAGTCTTGAAATGAAGTAAAAATCAGCGTACTCACATTTCACTTAAATTAAATAAATTATCAAATATTCCATCTTCTAATGAAGAAATCATGTTGTTACTTATATCTCTGCAGTCAAAGAAAGAAAGGGAAATGTCATGCATACTAAAAACAAACAAACAAAGCAACCTTGTCTTCATTTCTCTTCCCTTGAAATGCCAGTCAGCCAGTGTTCTTCACTGGGAAAGGCAGCATGGGAAAAGAAAAGGGCCACGGTACAAACTTCGTTCGTTTGAGGTGTCCATTTTCTTCAGGTTTACACTCAAAGCTGCCCTGGGCATGTTTGCACATCAGCAGCCTTGCTTGCTGACCACCGCTGGGTTGTTTTACCTCCGCCTTCCCATGCACACATCCTCCCAACCCCAAAATCCATACAAGAGGCACACCTGAAGCAGGAGGCATCTTTATTTTGTAAAGATGGGTTATGGGGAAGTTCCATCCGGACAAAAGATGGTGTGTTGGACTCCAGAAATGCCTGACCAAGCAATTCCATGGCTGCCCCCTAAGTGTGCCCAGACTCTACCTGCCCGCCCCCCAGCAAGGCATCTGCCTCCTGCTAGGAGGCATCTGGATGCAGGCACGCCACTGCTGCCCGGCCCTGGCCCTGGCCCTGGCCCTGGCCCTCACATCTGGTCCAGTGCAGGCTGAAATCCGGAAACCTCCAGGGGCACGTGTGCTTCTGAGAGTTCTCCCCAACATCTCCAGGCAAAAGTTGCCGACACTGCTCTGCTCCAGGAAGGGACCGAAAAATATGAGCTGCTCACAGTAGATTTGGAATTTGGACTCCGTGGTGCTCTGCCCCGTGCTAAACGAAAACAAGTGCACCACCGCAATTCTCTACCAAGAAAAGGCCAAACTTCTTTGCCAAGAAGAAGCGGCACTCTGCATATTGGACAGATTATGGAAAGGCGCAGAGTTGCCTCTTGAGTGATGCTTCGATGCGGCAGGAAAACATGAGGGGATCCAAAGTGATACCCCCAAAGGAGGGGAAATTCTGCTCCCTTTACCTCACCTGCTGCAGTTCTGAAGCCCTTACCTGACCGTGTGTCCATCCCGTCCCGTGTCCCCACCCCCTGCCGCCCCACCGTGCATACTTTCAAGACACTGCACGGAGGCTCACAAATCATTCGGTTCCAGCTTAAAGGAGACTATCCCCAAGGTGCAAAACATTTCCCCTAATTGCCTGGCGGAACAGTGGAATCGCACAAAGAGGCGGCCCCGAGTCCCAGGAGGCTTGCCAAGGACTGGAGAGAGGAGGTGGATGTGAGTGCCGTGAGGCTCCGTGCGCTGCACCGGGGCTTACAGTTTTGTCAGGGAAGTCAGATGTTCAAACGCCTCAGCATTTAAAGCACTGATCCTGTTGCTGGAAAGGTCCCTAGAAGGAGAGAGGAGAGGAGAGAATAATGCTTGCTATCTTTGACATTTTAACTTGTCTTCGTTCCATCAGCATGGGTTTAAAAAGATTAGCCTGTCTGTTTCACTCCAGACTCAGAAAGAAATCGGGGTTTTGGCATACGAAAACAGAGGGATTCCCACTCAGCCAAAGACAACACCTTTCTTAAAGCTGGCTTATCCATTAAGGAAAATGAGGCCATATATGAACAAAAATAGCCTGAAGAGGTTCCAGCGGAGAAATAGGTTCAGGTGGAATAAACTTATTGGTATGTATAACGTGCCTGCTCTGGGGGTGGGGGGGTGGGGGTCAGACCGGCCACTTCATTTCGGGGCCATTTTGTGAAAGAGCAAACCAAACCAAAACACCTTTAGAATACCTTTCCAGGTAATACCCAGGCTAATAATGGCTCTGCAATGAGCACCCGGTTGCTGCGCTTCCCAGTAACATCCAGATGAGGTCTTTGCATCTGGCCGAGGGAGAGGTGGAAAGCCCGGCTTCGAGCTTTGCCCTGCCCGCCCCACCTGTCAAATCTTATCACATCACTTGAGTTGCAGTTCTGGGTCAAATAGTTAAGGACATGATCCAGGCAAAATGGAGTCCCCAAAACTACAAGAAGGAAGACACCTCCCTGAAAAGAATCAGAAGAAACTTGACTTCCCGTTTCAGAGACCAGCTGGTGAGAGGCTGATTACGACTGTGCAAAGGGCAAAGAGGAGCGGCAGGAGGAGGGATCCTCGTCCTCCCCAGCTTATGACGCGTGAAAAACATACAGCTGGGAACCGCATGCTTTTCCACAGTCCGGGCCTCCAGTCCAAGGCACATGCTCTGCCATCAAAGCCTCGCATCAGAAGCCGGACCTTCGCTTGGTGCTGGAAAGTGCTGCAGCCAAGCACGTCTCCGCAGGGGCTGGCACCACGAGCCAGCGGGCCCCACCTGCTAAAGGCGCCTTCCAGAATTCAGTGAACGGGGAAACTGAGGCAGGGGCACTGCTCTGGAGCGCCTCTGTCCAGAGCTCCACGCCAGCTGCCTCCACGTCCACCTGGCGTCCCGGTGTCCTCACTCCACCTGTCGCTCAGCACCCTGTAGGCACTGAGCCTGCTGCATCTTCGCTGAGGCGTCTCAGCAGAGGCATCCGCCTCAACTTTGGATCTGGCGTGCACACGAACTCATGCAGGCACCAGTCCCCGCTAAATCCAAATCACGGACTTCCCCGTGGATGTCCAAGGGCAGGAGCCACTTCCATGCCCGAGAATACTTTAAGCACAGCTCCTCGGGGTGAGCCTCTCAGCCAAGCAATGGGTGTTCTCTCCGCCTGTTCTGCATCTCCCCGTCCTCCTTCACCCTCCTTTGCAGGCACTCCAGGCCATGCAGTCTCCTGCCAATCGATTGCCAGATTTCCTGCATTCAGCCAGTCAATATTCCAGGCCAGGAAAGTATCTTCGAGGTGCTTGGACAGATCCCCTTGTTTGTTTGTTTGTTTGTTTGTTTTGGATTTAGCCATTAGCTGTGGGCCCTTTGAAGCTCACAGCATGATGAAAACAAAGCAATCTGCCCTACAACCAGAGTTTTCCCCACATATTTCAGCTTTCTCAAGTTTGTCAATACCTTTTTCTAAATGGGCAGTGCAGCTTTGTATTACCCCGGGCTGATTCAAGTCAGTATATATGATGATGAGGATGATGCCAAGTCCTTTCATGCAGACAGCCTGCCCTTTTGTAATGTGAGGAAACGGCACCCCATCTTTCTACAAGCCCTGTGGCAAGCTTATTCTGTGCTAGCGGCAGCTGGGTAAGGCACCATCCAAGAGAAGTTTTAAAACAATACCATGTGCAACAGCAAAGAGCCACACTTTTCATGGACAAACTCCCACATCAGTGTTGAGAGTCGGTGTCCAACGGCAGCATTCCTTCGATAGGCGTCTGCGTCCAGTAAGCCAAGCCAAGTTTAACTGCCGGAGAAGTGCGTGGATCACCCCACGCCCACCGAAGGGCACGACAGGAGTGCTGACGGCACGCGCTGCCTTGTGTGACTCACGGTCAGCCCTTCAGTTCCAATTCCTGGGCGCCTCGCGTACAGCCCAAGTACCTGCCCCAATGCAGCCAGCTCACTCTGGGGCTTATTGGATAATACCCTGTTATATAAAACTCAGTGGCTGCCGCCAAAGATTCGGTTACTCGGTCCAACCCTCCACCACCCACTTAATTTCGCCTCTCGGCACATTGGCTGCCTGGCCCACAGGCCCTCCCTGAGCATGCAGCTCTCTGCCTGCGGGAGCGTCTCCCCAGCCCCCCCTTCGCCTCTCCGATTCCACACGGATCCCCCGCCTGCTTTTCCTCAGGTCACCACAACCGCCCACCCAGAGCCGGCCTCCATCTGCCCTGCTCTGCGCCTCTTCCCGCCGGGCTCCAGCTCCCAGCACTTGCGCCTGCGGACCTCGGCAGCCTCTTCGCCCCGAGTCTGCCGGCAGCACCTCGCCCCTGGGGTCCTCTTAGGCCCCAGACGACGCTGTCTGGCTAAGTGGACCTTTCACTTCTCACACGCACGCTGCACAGCTTGCCAGTACTCCATGCGGGGCACACGCTTCCTAAGTCGCAAACATGCTCGAGAATGGTCTTCACGTCAGGCCAATTCCAAGAGAGGGTAGCCAGGCAGAGCCACTGAGCTCAAGAGCTGGCAACATCTCCAGGAAGGGCTAGAAAACTCTGCCCAGACCCCGGGGAGAGCTCCGGCCAGTGCTGCCAGCCTGGGCTTCAGGGCCGGGCCGGGCCGGGAGGGTCTCTCAGCAGAAGGCAGCCTCAGGCACTCCTGACGTGGTCAGCAAGTGAGGAGCCGGCGGCAAGCTTTAGCACTTCTATCTGCTGAGCCCTTTCTGGGCCTAATCTATAATGCCAGCAATTGCCTATGAAGTCCTAAATGACCTAGAAGTAACCAGGTGATGTAAAGGGCCGGCACACCTGCATGCACCTGCCTAGGCTTTCATTTGGCCACAGAGGCCTTGCTCATACGCGCACCTCTAAGTTCTGTCAGGTTGGAGAGCAGGAAGCAGAGCCTGTTCAGGAGTGGCCCCATCCTCATTCCGCACCGAACTCTGCACTGGCCTCACTGGCTCCCTCCACCTCTACCGTTCAGGAGCATGATTCGCGGGGGGGCGGGGGGGCGTGTGTGGCTTCATGCCTGTCTATTTTTAAATGGATCTTAAATGGAGGATAAGCATCTGATAGTCCACTTTCAACTGACATTGGCCTCCAGTGTATAGTTTAGACTTTGTGGCTTAACTGTTGCAGGAAATGTATTTTAATGCAGCTACCTCAGTTAATTCTGCGTGCTGTGCATATGTTCATCCATACATACTGATCATTAGCTTTGATTCAGGACCTGATCTGGCAATCCAGAAGACGACCCAAACTATCTCTGACTGGTTCAGAGTCTGCCCAACTCAAATTTGGAAACCCCACTTGGGAAAACTACAAGTTCATACTTCCTATTGACAATCACTGGAAAAAAACAAACGACCACATTATTTTTGCCATTTAACAGAGCTGAGTGAAATATACTTAGTGACGGATGAAACCTGACAAATTCCAGACAAACAGGTGGGGGGGGGGACATTTTCTTATGTTAACTTGTTGTCATTAACTTGTTTGCATTTCATTGCAGAACTGATTGGCATTTGCAGGCAAAAATGCTCCTTTTGAAAGGACACTGTTGATCGAGTTGCAGATTAATCACTGCAGAGATTTTCTGTGGGAGCTTTACAAGCTTGGAGGTTTCCAGAAATATGCAGGGTGTTCTTTCTGGGGTGATTTTTATGAAAACCCCACACCATGTAGAAGTGGCCCTGGCTAAGAAACCTACAAAAATGTTGCAAGGGTACTATGGTGAAGTCACTGGGATGAAAATAAATAGAGAAAAGACTTAACTGTTAGTAAAAAATCTTACATTGGAACAGAAAACAACTTTGATGCAGCAAAAAGACCTTCAAATTGTTAAAGAGGTTAAATATTTGGGAATCTTACTTACAGCTAAGTGTGTTACACTAAAAGAAGATAACTATATTAAACTATGTAAGGAGATCAAGAATGATCTAGAAAAATGGGCTAATTTGCAATTATCATTGTTGGGAAGAATATCTATAGTTAAAATGAATATATTACCAAAGCTTTTGTTCCTATTCCAAACAATTCCTATAAAAATTCATAAAAAGTATTTTGATAATTTAAATACCCAAATCTTACAATTCATTTGGCCAAAGAAGAAATCAAGGAATAAATTAAAAATGCTTCAGGAAGCCAAAGGGAATGGGGGCTTTGGTCTTTCCGATTGGATTCTATAATAT